CTACTCAGGAGGCTGAGGCAGGAGAATTGCCTGAACCCAGGAGGCGGAGGTTGCGGTGAGCTGAGATCGTGCCATTGCACTCCAGCCTGGGTAACAAGAGCGAAACAACGTCTCAAAAAAAAAAAAAAGAAAAATAGCTCACTGCTTGATCTTGAACCTCCACTCTTGAGCATGTCCATATCAGAGATGGTGTTAAATATCTCAGTCTGATCAATATCGCCACTCAGCCGAGCCCTTTTGAGCTTCCCTTCTCACTCAGAGCCAAATCCTGTGACAAGTGTGGCCTACAGCACACGGCAGGATCTGGCCCCTCAGTATGTTTCTGCCCTCAGCTTCGGACAGTCTCTCCTCCACTCACCCTACCCCAGTCAGACTCACCTCCTGACCCTTCACTGACACATGAGGGCCTTTGCACCTGCTCTTCCCTCCACCTGGAATGCTCTTCCCCAGATTTTTACCAACTCCTTCAGATATCCACTTAGTTGTCACCCTCTCAGGAAGACCTTCCCTGACCACCCTTTCCAGAATAGCATTCCCTGATCCCGACCCAGCTTCATTTTTCGTAATCACTGTCAGATTTACTGTGTATCTGTTTGGGTATTTGTTTTATTAAGCAGATTCTCCCTGCGCTCCATGAGAGCTGGGAGTCTTACTATCTCCAGTGCCAAAAGGCTGTAGAAGGGCCTGTGGAGACACCCAGGCACACACTTAGGTAGTTCATGCCTGGCTGTTTTTGTGTCTTTCCTGGCACTGCCTTTCTTTCAGTGGGCTCATTCTTGACCAGGGAGCAGTAGGCAGGCGCCCATAGAATCTCCTGCAGAATCTCCACCAAGCACAGACTGGAGCAGCACTTACCCAGAGGGCACTCACCAGCCAGCTTCAGCTGTTCCCGCTGTGTTCCCTTCCCTAACAAGAAAAGGCCTCTGCACAGATGTAAGCATTGAGGTCTTTCCTGATGGGTCTGTGTTTGGTGCATTTCACAGCCTGCAGTGCTGTACCTGATTGTACCCATGAGTCGAACAGCTCTTATTATCTCCTCCCCAGCCCATGGCAGAGTTGAGGGAGGAGACAGCGCCAGAGGCAAGCATGCTGACAGTTCTGTGGTGTGACAGCCTCACAGTGTGGAAAGACAAAATTCAAAAAGCTTAGTAGTCCACAGGCACTTATAGAGGCAGAGAGGCTAGGCCTCACTACTGTAGCACACTGCATCTCATAGTTTTAAAATAACGAAGACTGACTGAGCACAGTGGTGCATACCCGTAATCCCAGCATTTTGGGGAGCCTAGATGGGCAGATTACTTCAGGTCAGGAGTTCGAGACCAGCCTGACCAATATGGTGAAACCCCATCTCTACTAAAAATACAAAAATTAGGCCAGGCATGGTGGCTCACACCTGTAATCCCAGTACTGTGGGAGGCCATGGTGTGTGGAAGGTCTGAAGTTCAAGACAAGCCTGGCCAACATGACGAGACCCTGTCTTTACCAAAAATACAAAAATTAGCCAAGCGTGGTGGCATGTGCCTGTAATCCCAGCTACTCGGGAGGCTGAGGCAGGAGAATGGCTAGAACCTGGGAGGTGGAGGTTGCAGTGAGCCGAGACTGCAGCACTGCACTACAGCCTGGGTGATACAAGACCCTGTTTTAAAAAAAAAAAAAAAAAAAAGTAGCCAGGTGTGGCGCTGCACACCTGTAATCCCAGCTACTTGGGAGGCTGAGACATGAGAATCACTTGAATCTGGAGGCAGAGGTTACAGGGGGCCGAGATCATGCCACTGTACTCTAGCCTGGTGACAGAGCAAGACTCCATCTCAAAAAAATAAAATAATAATAACGATGATGATGACTAAGTAAAAGCTACTATTAAGGGAAATAAACTACCCTCTCTTAGTACCATAATGTGTGTCAGGTACTATGTTCGATTCTCTTATTTCATCCTGCATAGAAGTTGTTGGTGACTTCTTTTATTATTGAGGAAACAGGGGCTCGTGGGAGTTAAATAAGGCACCAAGGTCACCTCGCTGGAAGTCCTAGTGAGCTCTGATGCTGAAAAGATGAAACTTCAGTTACCTGGGAAATTTGCTGTCACAGGCAGTTCACTCATTCCCTAAGCATGTTGGCTTTATCACACACTTTCCAGTTATGCGCTTATGCTTTGCTGAGCTGATGACCAGGACCGAGCCTTACTCGGCATCTGTTCGATGTGTCCTAGGATCAGCAGCAGGCCCGTCAGTCTCAGCTTGCTCAGGACGAGCGCGTGTCCCGCTCTTACCTCGCCCTGGCCACCGAAACCGTGGACATGTTCCACATCCTTACGAAGCAGGTCCAGAAACCCTTCCTCAGACCGGTGAGTAGAACCCAGGGGCTCTGTTTGGTGGTTTGGACTCCACATTCAGACTCTCTCACTTACAACTTCAGCAGTTGTTGAAGTCCTGGAAATTTTACTATCACAGTCACCAATAAGTGAAATTCTGTTACTGATTTTGTTCCCAGTTATTCTCATTGATAACAAGACTCTGTTGTTAGATTGAAGAGCAGACGTCTGATGTCACCATGTAGTCTACAGCCACTTCCAAACGCCTTACTGCACTTCCTGCTTAGACAGGACATTGGATTATCAATATTGAAGTCATGACATATTTCTACCATTATTGATTCCTATATTTTATTTATAGAAAACCATAAAGTAACATCCATTGACAATTGAAGGATATTAAGTAGAATAATTGAGACTGTGTAAGGTCTTTGGCTCTCTTAGATGTAGCTTTGTTACACTGAAGAAGCCAAAGGTTAATGAGAGCCAGCCATCACAAGGGTTTACGGTAGATTGCAAATAGTCAAAGAGTTTGTCTTCAGCTAACAAGCCCTGGTTCCCGTTTCTGAAATTGAAACTGAGCATCATCACTGAAGGCCTCTGCTCTGCTTCAACCACCCTCACCACAAAGTTGAAGAGTTTTATATATGGCCAGGACAAGGGTAGTGAGGAAGGCATGGCAGGGACCTAAGATTCAATAGCCATTCGCCTATGTGGACAAATTTACTTTACAATGGAATGGAATGTTACTGCATGTTTCCCCTGATTTTCTGTATTTGCCCTGACCTCCGTTATCTGACTCCCATCATCTCCAGCAGAGGCACTGTTGCCATTCCCTGGTGTGGGTATAACTCTTTTCCCCTCTTTTCACTTTCCATTTCATGTCTCTTCATCAACAGATTTCGGTGTGAGAGCCATGGAACATGAAAGAAAACAGCGCACTGCCCAGACACTCACCTCCCTTAGACGTTTGCAGAGTGGAAGGCCAGATAGTAAATAGTTGATGAATTCCTCCATAACAACGTCAACACACCCACCTGCTTTGTAGACTTGTTGGGAAGATTAAGCTAAAAAACACATAGAAGTGCCTGGTGTAAGGCCGGGCACAACGGCTCATGCCTGTAATCCCAGCACTTTGGGAGGCTGAGGCCGGTGGATCCCCTGAGGTCAGGAGTTTGAGACCAGCCTGGCCAACATGGTGAAACCCTGTCTCTACTAAAAATACAAAAATTAGCCAGAAGTGATGGTGCCTACCTGTAACTCCAGCTACTTGAGAGGCTGAGGCGGGAGAATCACTTGAACCCAGGAGGCAGAGGTTACAGTGAGCTGAGATCACACCACTCCAGCTTGGGTGACAGAGCAAGACTGTGTCTCAAAGAATAATAAATGAATAAATAAATGTATTTTAAGGCCTGCTCATAGACCTAAGCCATCTGTACACTGTGGCCCTGTTCTTTTGCCCCAGTCTTGTGCCTGTGCCCACTGTGATGTCTTCATTTTCTTTACTACACTGTTTACTATCTGGTCTTCACAGGCAAAGTGTAAAGGCAATTCCATTTTGCAAACCTTTAAGGTTTCCATTTTCACCTTCCTTACTGACTAGCTCAGATCTCTCCTACTTAAAAAAAAATGACCAACTCTGTCCTATTAATCATAAACTCCTTCATTTCACAACTTCTCAACAATGAAATACAGTACTCTGTGCAAAACCAAATTATTGAAAAGCTAAGCATATGTTGAATTTGTATAAATCCAGTTATTAGATTTCATGAAAACCTTGTGACTTAAAGGAAAGCTTTCATGACTCCCTCTTTTTTTTTTTTTTTCCCCATGACTCCCTCTTATGGCCAGTGTCTAATGCTCTCTAAGCCACATTTTCCTGTTTCAGGTTTGCTTAAAGCCGCATATGCCCAGCTGCAGTGTGTACTGGGTCATCTTGTGAGATTACTGCACAGATTATTATTTTCCAGGTGTTTTGTTGACTCGGTCTCACTGGCTAGATTTAACACTATTTAAGGCATAACTTTTCTTTCCTTACATTACTTTGCTACTTGCATGTGATAAGTACGTAAGAATGGCACAGACCGAACTGCCAGGGGCTTTTGACATTTATGGGGAAAAATTTTATGAAATATTGTTGGAGGAGCTGACTCAAATATTTTTTGGCTCAGATGATGGTGAGAGTTGTATAATTTTCTCTTTTTTACTTGTTTCTTAATGAATTTGGAGTGATAATTTTTTTAAATTAAAAGCATGAATTTAAAGGAAAGATTGGCTTTTTTGGGGATTTATAAATACATATTTCATTAGCCTGCAGCATTCCATTAAGTATTAAAATTATCAGATCAGAAATGGGGAGTAAAGTTGGAATATAATGTTGTCTTGTCTTTCTTCAGCTTGTGCTACACAGCACATGTAGGGATTCTCTGAAGATTAATCCAGCCAATTCCCGCTCCTCCAGTGAAATGGGGGTTTGTGGTCCTTCTCACTTGTCTCAACAGCATGAATTGTCCTATTATCCTGTGATTTCCTAGGAACTTGGACCCCGATTGGCTGCAATGCTGAACTTTAATCTTCAGCAACTCTGTGGCCCCAAGTGCCGTGACCTGAAAGTTGAAAACCCTGAGAAATACGGCTTTGAACCAAAGAAGCTGTTGGACCAACTGACGGATATTTACTTGCAGCTGGACTGTGCTCGGTTCGCGAAAGCCATTGCTGACGACCAGGTCGGTGCTCCGTGTCACCGGGAGTCTTGATTTGGGCTGCTGAACTGGGTAATTTGAGTTGGCCTCTCTGTGAGTTTACTGGCAGATTCTGTGCAATTACATATCCACCGGTCCCTGGATTTTCCCTACTTGAAATGAAGGCAGATGATACAAACTGTGGTTCGAGAAGTTTTTAGTAAGTAATTGGAGATAATGACCACAGTGGCCAGGGAACTCCTCTGTTGTAAATGAACATGAATGGGTTGTTTTCCTTTGAGTGGGAAGAGCAGATTTGGGCTGGGCACAGTGGCTCAGGCCTATAATCCCAACACTCTGGGAGGCCAAGGCAGGAGGATTGCTTGAGGCCAGGCTGCAGTGAGCCATGATTGCACCGCCACACTCTAGCATGGGCGAGAGAATGAGATCCGGTCTCAATAAATAAATAAGTAGGTCAGGTGCAGTGACTCACACTTGTAATCTCAGCACTTTGGGAGGCCAAGGCAGGCAGATCACAAGGTCAGGAGTTCAAGACCAGCCTGGTCAACATGATGAAACCCTGTCTCTACTAAAGATACAAAAAAAAAAAAAAACCTCCCAAGTAGCTGGGATTACAAACGCACACTGGGTGTGGTGGTGTGCATGTGTTAATCCGAGGCAGGAGAATTGCTTAAACCTGGGAGGCAGAGGTTGCAGTGAGCCAAGGTGGCGCCATTGCACTCCAGCATGGGCAACAGGGCAAGACTCCGTATCTAAAAACTAAAAATAAATATATTAATTAATTAAAACACAAAAGCGAAGAGCAGATTTTGTGCTCCGATCCTTCTCCAGTTGAATTCTTACCCCATCTTTCTAAGGGCCTTTTTAACAAAAACATTGCATTTCCAAAAACAGCCTGATTTCCTCAAGGAATCAGAATCTTCTTCCCCAGTCTCCTGATAGAGTGCTGTTATTTTTGTGGTTGTCCAGGTTGAAAAGCTCGTGTGGTTTTCTTTATAGTCGTCCCTCGCCTTCATTCCATGTGTCTCCTGTGAGCAGATCTGTCTGTGTGTGCTTCATTTCCATAGGCACCAATTTAGGCTAAGCTCTCCCTATGTGATCTTCTAGTAATCCTCGAAAGGGCTGGCCCCACTCCATGGTCTTTTCTGCCTCATTTACAACGTTCTGACAGCTAATGTTTATTAACTGTATACCGCATTTCACCCAATTTTCATATCTCCACCCATTTAGTCCTCACAAAATCCTGTGATGTAGGTTCTATTAAATTTGTTGTTTTGCTGGGCATGGTGGCTCACGCCTGTAATCCCAGCACTTTGGGAGGCCAAGGTGGGTAGATCATGAGGTCAGGAGATCGATACCATCCTGGCTAACACAGTGAAACCCCGTCTCTACTAAAAATACAAAAAACATTAGCCTGGTGTGGTGGTGTACACCTGTAGTCCCAGCTACTCAGAAGGCTGAGGCAGGAGAATCGCTTGAATCCGGGAGGCAGAGGTTGTGGTGATCCAAGATCGCGCCACTGCACTCCAGCCTGGGCGACAGAGCCAGACTCCGTCTCAAAAAAATTTCTTGTTTTAAAGTGAGGAAAGAGGCACAGAGAGGTTAAAGAGCTTGCTTGAGGTCACAGTTAGTGTGGGACAAAGGCAAGATTGATGTCCAGGCAGCCTGGCCCTGAGCGCATATTCACAGTCTCTTTGCTGTTCACTTAAAGTGCTCATAAAGAGCTGGGCACAGTGGTTCACGCCTGTAATCAAAGCACTTTGGGAGGCTGAGGCAGGTGATCACGAGGTCAGGAGTTCGAGACCAGCCTGACCAGCATAGTGAAACACCGTCTCTACTTAAAAAAACAAAAATTAAGGCTGGGCACGGTGGCTCACGCCTGTAATCCCAGCGCTTTGGGAGGCCGAGGCAGGTGGATCACGAGGCCAAGAGATCGAGACCATCCTGGATAACACAGTGAAACTCTGTCTCTACTAAAATACAAAAAAAATTAGCTGGGCATGTTGGCGTCCACCTGTAGTCCCAGCTACTTGGGAGGCTGAGGCAGGAGAATTGCTTGAACTCAGGAGGTGGAGGTTGCAGTGAGCCGAGATCGCACCACTGCACTCTAAACTGGCGCCTGGCGATAGAACAAGACTCTGTCACACACACAAAAAAATTAGCTGGGCATGGTGACACACATCTGTAATCCCAGCTACTTGGGAGGCTGAGGCAGGAGAATCACTTGAACCCGGGAGGCAGAGGTTGCAGTGAGCCGAGAGTGCGCCATTGCACTCCA